GAATGGGTGACCGCTTGGTAAGATTGGGAGGCAGGTGACTTTCAGAAAGTCTTAGGGTAGTGAAACGCGGAGTGTAGGATGCGTAGGTTTTGTAATATAAACTATACAATAAAACATTGTTTATATTTACATATACTACACACGCACACACACACACACACGCATATATATTATAGGCTATACAGCCTGTATGTATGCCATCCAATGAACCAATGGTGCTGGCTTTGTTCGATAACAACTATTTGATAACAATTGTTTTTTTCCACTATATTTCTACCCGCGATCAAAATTCCGTATTCAGAGTAATAACAGTGGGCGGTCGGTTCATATTTTTTGACAATAAAACATAAGCGTAAACTGAGCGTTGACACAGTCATACATTCAGGGGGGAAATGTAAATCTCGATAATCACTTCCCTGTACAAGTCTCACAAGCAAATATCCCTCACATTTCCTTGTCCAATCTCCCCGAGGAATATCTGCGAGACGAGACGAATGATAAAGATTTATAATAACGCAAGGCTGAGCAACCTTCGCCCCCGAGGAGGAAAGCAGCCTGGCCTCGAACTTTTGATTGATTTCGGGGAACGAATAGTTTCTTTTCCGGAGTTTCTTGGTAAAGTTTCTCTTTTTTTTGATCCTATAGAATTCTGCCGAAGACTTGGATCTAACCGAATTTTTAACTGAAAATTGGAAATGTCTTTTTATCATCACTGGATTCAAACATTTCGATTTTGTTGTAAAAGTTATGTTGTTTAGAAATGATGCCTTTGATGGTAGTAGACGCAGGATACAATTGTTGGAAACTAGTTGCTCAGAATGGTAATAATTAAGATGATAAATAAGCAATTACTACGTTAATTGTACCGATGATAAAGCTAAAACAACAGTAATAAAACAAAGATATTTATATATATGATCAATAAATCTATACATAGCAACGGAAGAAAAGTCTTTGAAAACTTAATAAACTAATGTGTTTATAACGTAGCAGTCCCGGAATCGTTGCTCAGGCCGCGTTCCAGACGAGGTTATCTTCTTCTTGATCAAATAACCTCCAGCAAGAAATCCTTTTTACTTTGTCCGTGATTGAGTGGCTGGGAAAAAAGTGGTGCTTTAGGAAACCATAAGACATCAGATTTAAGATTCTTTTCTTTTTGAACAGAGTGAGGACCATTCGTGAAAAGGGCTATAAACTTATATCTTTTGTAGAGATGAATGTTTTTTTCCTTGGTTACATTATCAAACGTACGAGTAGAAATTAAAGAACCACAATAAACCCCAGGCCAGCATTAGTCACAAAAACACAGCTTCACAACAAAATAGTTAGCTGGGAAAAAATATTGCTATCGTCTAACTAGCCCACAGGTTCCTATTTGTCTTGCTCTTCTCAACTTGAAGAATGGTACCTTGCAAGTTGCACAATCAGTTCTGCATAATGTGGCTGCCGAGCTGGGGGCTAACTCTGATAAAGATCTGGTGAATTATTCTTGCTGCAGTTTTATTACAGTTTGCTCAAGACAAACGGCGGATAAGGGGATAAAACTTTAATTGGCCGCGATTACTTCTTGTCCTTCGCAACGGCGAATATGATGGAGTGAAATTTTACGGAAAGTAGGATCTAAACAGTAATCAGTAAAAGTAGGAT